GTCGACAATTGCAGCAGGCCGCAAGGGAGGTGAGTTTGTGAGAGAGGCTATGACTTACATGATAACAGATGAAATGGAAGTGAAGCCTATGTTTGCCATTTCAAGTATTGCTCTGCTTAAAAACTTTGATGTTAGGGATGTTCATTCACTTGAAGAGACTGTGGTTCCTCTTGATAAGGATAAGGTTTGTGTTTATTAATTTTTTCTGACGTGATAAATTACCATTCTCTATATTCAAATATTGCACTTGATATTCTATAAGAATTTATGATGAAGAGCATTTTTGTTTAATTTCCTTGTTAGTGTTTGAAATTATTGAAAGGCATCGTTGCAGTCAAATGCAGTTCTAACGAATGTGTTCCCTTTAGCAGCATTTCAAGTTGACATTTTGAAGCTTCTTTTGGAATGTTTGTGTCACGCCCTAGACCCGGGTGTCGGTGGAAATCCCGCGCTCGGTGCGTGAGTAAAATAAAATAAAAAGAAGCCGAAACATAAAATAAACTTTTCTTATAAAAATAGCACCCAAAATCTTACAACTTTGCATGAAAGAAATAAAGCTCTATCACTCCCATCTAATTTAGCCTCAGCTGGTTTAGTCCTTGTCTTGCCTATTAATTCATCTGAAAAATTAAATAGGGTGAGGGGTGAGCAACCACCGCTCAGTAGGGACATGAGAGCTTACCACAGTAGATTGACATAACCAAATTAAGTGACATACAATCACACAGCCAAATGTCACATTATTATTCATAATGCATGAATGCTCTTCATCTAATCTCGTTAATTCATATAACTGGATAAGCAGACCTGCACGTCCCATACCATGCTTACCACTTGGTCCCGAATGCCCATTTATATGAACTAACACCCATTTCAATCATTCCATAATTCCCCTTTTGTTAGTCATCTTGTCTAACTCCCTTTCGCTAGTCCAGAATCACCTAATAAAAACCATGTGCACTGTGGGGTCCCTGAGACCTGGTACCTGCCAAGAGTTAGACTCAACTACACAAAAGATCCTTCCCATTACCCTCTTGTCCATCATTATTTTCTCCACCCAACAACTCCATGTAATTCCCATGACATGATATAAAAATACATTTCACATATCCATATATCTCACAACAATGTAACATTTAAAACATCACCAACATATATATATTATTCAATCAGTCAAGAACACATAAACATTCCATGAAAAACATTCAATTGTGACAAGAATATTGATCAAATAATCATATCACGCATAATATAATGCTCACGAAATTTAATTAAATCAATCCCCGTAAAGGGCCCCCAAGAAATCCCTACATTGTTTGTCAAAGCTAGCTCCAAGTTAAGAAAACACAAGCTAAGTCCTATATCTCCTCCAAGAATTTCCTCACTATTCTCTCTCCCTCTACGTTTTTCTCTCTTTGCATGAACTTTCGTACAAGGTTAAGTGCTTTCAAAAACAAAGGAAATGTCCTATTTATAGTAATACTCAAGGAGGAATCCATATGTTCTAATTGGTGGGGAGGTGATGACTACGTGGGAAATTGGGCTCCAAGACTAGGATTGTCACGACCCGACTCCCCTAGCACGATATTGTCCGCTTTGGGCCCTCCTCTCTGCCCTCACGGTTTTGTTTCTGGGAGCTCACGAGTAACTTCCCAGTGGGTCACCCATCCTGGGATTGCTCTGGCCCCCAAGGCCTCGTGCTAGGAAGAGAAGTACCCACACATTTAAAGCACTTCACTTTTCCCTCCCCGAGCGATGTGGGATTGCTCACCGTTCTTGTTTCCCCAAGACACGGGTCTTACAATCCACCCCCCTTAGGGCCCAGCGTCCTCGCTGGCACACTTTCGATCGGAGTCCGGCTCTGATACCATTTTGTCACGACCCGACTCCCCTAGCACGATATTGTCCGCTTTGGACCCCCCTCTCTGCCCTCACAGTTTTGTTTCTGGGAGCTCACGAGCAACTTCCCAGTGGGTTACCCATCCTGGGATTGCTCTGGCCCCCAACTCGCTTAATTTCGGAGTTTCTATGACTCTGAAGTCAATGAGCTCTCAAAAGGCCTCGTGCTAGGAAGAGAAGTGCCCACACATTTAAAGCACTTCACCTTTCCCTCCCCGAGCGATGTGAGATTGCTCACCGTTCTTGTTTCCCCAAGACACGGGTCTTACAAGGATAGCTATCAATAAATTGCCAACACCTCATGCTAAATAAAGCATAGTTACCTAGGTAGAATGACACTTGGAGTCTTAAAGTGTGTTTGTAAAAAAAATCTAGGCTATTGAACTTGGTCAGCAAGAAACGAAGAGATAAAGCTGGTCAAAAACAATATATATACTTATTTATAATATTTCTACTATTTTTTAATAACTAATAAGAAAATCTAAAAATATAACACGTATAATTTTATATGTACATATATATAGATTTAACTATCTGAACTAAATATTCCCCAATATATATATATATATATATATATATATATATATATATATATGT